ACACACACACAGACACACACACACACAGAGACACACACACACAGAGACACACAACACACACACAGACACACACACACACACACAGAGACACACACACACACACACACACACACAGACACACACAGACACACACACACACACACACACACACACACACACACACACACACACACACACACACACACACACACACACACACACACAGAGACACACACACACACACACACACTACACACACACACACACACACACACACACACACAGAGACACACACACACACACAGAGACACACACACACACACACACACACACACACACACACACACACACACACACAGAGACACACACACACATACACACACACACACACATACACACACGACATACACACACACACAGAGACACACATTGTTTACTTGGATGAGATCAGAAATGCTTGTACATTAAAATGTTTTAACCTTTAACTATAACTGAGGGGGGGCGGCTTCTAGAAGTGGTCCTCTTGTGCTCACAGCAATGATCACTTAGACTTTGGCAGAACCAATCAATCAATCAAACTTTATTTGTATTGCACTTTTTCATACATTTGAAATGCAGCACAAAGTGCTTCACATGCAACAGAAAAATTACAATACAATAATTAAAAAACAACAGCAAACCCGCACACATACATTTATTAGATCATGATTTATTCTAACAGTTTTGACTTTTTCACAAGAAAAAGTGAAAAAAAATCTATTTGAATTACATTTGTTACATTTGAAAAGAATCAGGTCAAAATCATTGGCTTAAAGAGAATACAGGACAGTGGTGATGAGTTTGACAAGGATCATCTGGACATTTGAAGCTCATTTTACTCTGTGACAGCAGTTACTCCACTTGTTTTTCTCAATTACTCATAATTTTCTACCAGGAGCCCATTTTTGTATGTGTAAGTAGCAGCACCGATGTGGGACGTGCCGCTTCTCGCTGTGACACACTGAGTTTCTTGACCTTTGGTTTTGTGAAAATTTACAGCTTTCTGCCGCATTCTGGCCACCACCTCATCTTTACTGAACCATGGAACTACTGCTGCCTGTAATTCTGTCAGCTTATAAGTCTCCCCCAACTTCAGAGTATTCAGGTACTGACCCATCTCCTCCAGCTGAGGATCTGCGTTCCCCAGAGAGGTGAAGACATAGACCCAGCGGACTTTATCTCCTGGAGCCAACACAAACCTGTCAACTTCAGCCTGAGTGGAAAACACTAACTCTCCCTCCATTATGTCTAAACACGACTGAACCACACTCACCTCCCTCTCCTTGTCCTCCAGCCACTTGGTGAGTCTGTCCTGGCTGAACAGGGACTTGAGTCTCTGGTCAAAGAGACTTCTGAGGACGCTCTCTTCCACTGTCCCCTCTCGAATGGCAGGACATGTCTCTGCCATCTGCCTCTGCAGCTCTACACTGTAACTCTGACACAGTTTGGAGAACTTGTGCACCTGCTGCTGAAGCTCAGGGAACTTCCCCACTGCACTGACAGACAAACATTCATTACACCTCATAATAAAACTGTCCAGATCCTCCAGAGTCTCCTCAGCCTCCAGCACTAAACCTACACTGATGTGTCTACTGACTAACCCATTAGCTGCAGGGTTCAGATGTGTCACTGGCACCATCCACACTCTCACTGAGTGGACCAGAGTCCAGACCAGGTCCAGACCAGGTCCAGACCAAGTCCAGACCAGGTCCAGACCAGGTCCAGACCAAGTCCAGACCAAGTCCAGACCAGGTCCAGTCCAGGTCCAGTCCAGGTCCAGACCAGGTCCAGACCAGGTCCAGACCAGGTCCAGTCCAGTTCCAGTCCAGTTCCAGTCCAGACCAAGTTCCAGACCAGGTCCAGACCAGGTCCAGACCAGGTTCAGACCAGGTCCAGACCAAGTCCAGACCAGTTCCAGTCCAGTTCCAGACCAGGTCCAGACCAGTTCCAATCCAGTTCTAAACCAGGTCCAGACCAGGTCTAGGTCTGTGAGTGTGAATCTACTTGATTGTTTGAAGTTTTTTCTTTGGTGACTCCACGTCTCCTCAGACTTTCCTCTTTTCTACCTGACAACAACAGGTCCAGAGAGAGAGGTCAAAGGTCAGAGAGAGGTCAAAGGTCAGAGAGAGAGAGTCAGAGAGAGTGGTCAGAGGTCAGAGAGAGGTCAGAGAGAGGGGTCAGAGGTCAGAGAGGGGGGTCAGAGGTCAAAGAGAGAATCCTAAATTCCCCAAAAGGAAATTTTATCAGGTTTAAAGGATTAAAAAGCGACAGGAGGTAAAAAAAAAACTCCATATCCCATGATGCACCTGCACTCTGTTTAACGCGGAGCCACAGACGCAAAAGAAAACAAGAAATAAACAAGAAATAAACAAGAAATAAACCAGAAATAAATGAAAAAATAAACATTACTGAGGAAAACTATGATTCACTTTCACAATAATGAACTGAAAGAAAAATGTAAATAAATCAAATTATTTTTAAGCAAATAATCAACAAATAATCAATAAAAAAATTAAAAATAATAATGTTAAAGAATCACCAACATTACCAGAAATCATGTATTTTAACTCAATATTAAATCAAACTAAATAATAATGATCTCAGTCATGAAAATATTAGAAAAATAAAATTATAAAACTGGTTTTAGGCTCCAGTTAAAAACAACGTGACTATTAAAATATTAAATAAATATGACAAATAAAATTACTGTTATTTACAAAAGTAAAAGTAATGTATGACTTTTATTATTTTGATTTAAAAAAAAAAAAAAAAAAAAAAAAAAAAAAGAACATTTTCCACAGGCGCGCGCAGAGCGGAGCTGAGCGCGCGCAGAGCGGGAGCGCGCTCAGAGCCACTTGAATCAAAAACAGTATAAAAGTGAAAATGTGGACACAAAGCTGGAGTGTGGCAGACCGGAGGACGAGTGGGACTCAAATATGAGTTAAAGCAGCACGGGAAGAGTTTTGGTGAGTTTATTTTATATTTGACGTCATTTCGTGAGGTGAACTTTGCCCTGGTTAAACGAGCTCATTAAGACCGATTGAAAGTTTCCGTATTTGTGTTGTGTGTCGTTGTATTTGTCACTGTTGAAGCCTGAATGTGTTTTATTTGCTGTATTTTGTGTGTTTGATGTGGAATCGTGCTAAATAAAAGCTCTGAGCCTGTGGACATAGACCTATAATCCACGGCTGTGACACAAGAGCAGCCGCCATTTGGCGTTTGCGCTGAGTCACGTAGCCGCGGGAGACGCCGACACTTTTCATTTAGACATTTACACTAGTTTGACACTTTGACTTTTATTAAAGGACTCCAATTGTTTCCTTGAGTCGTGCAGGCCAAGTTTTGTTCCCCCGGGAGAAGCTGGAGAAGGTTCTGGAGCCTGAAGCGTCCACAGAGACACGGACGGAGCATCTCCAGGGAGCGGGACAAAGGACAAAGGCACGGAGACCACGTGGACCTTTGTCCACGCCGACAAACTCACTGCCAAGGCTGAGGTAGGACAGGGACACTTTTCCCTTTGTGCGTCCTACACACATTAAAGGACACTTTGACCAGAGGTACACGTTTTAAAGGACACTGAGAGGGTTTGATGAGCTCACGCACATTTACTCAAAACTCTTCTAACGTAGTGCAGCTGTTGGCACCAAAAAGTTTTGAAAATTAATGTACATATTATATTTTCTACATGTATAAAAGTGTCCCTCTGATCAGTGTTTGGGTTTAAGCGTCGCTTCTTTTAACATTTAATTATAAAAGAATAAGAACGTCACACATCAGTTACTAGAGGTAAATATTTTTTTATTAGGGCTGGGCAAAAGTAAAAAATATTAATTGCATGAGTTTGAGTGCGATTAGGAGCTTCGGTGGCTGGAACGAAGTTTGAGATTTGAGATTGCCCGGACGGGGGCCGGAGCCCGCGGTCCGCTGGGGCTCGGACACGTTGCATCTCACGTGGTCAGAAAAAAGTGAAAAAGTGTAAAGAAAAGACGTCAAACTTAAAGAAACGCTCGCGGTAAACTTTTTCAAAATAAAATCCAGTGAGCAACAGACGTTTACAATAAATAAATAATATAAACTGCGTTAACGGTGTTAAAATCATTCTCGGCAATAATGAATTAATTAGTTAGCGCAAAATTAACGCGTTAACGTTAACAACCCATTTTTTATTTAGTTGCGCGTGTTGATGATGTCATCAGTGATGTCACTTCCTCTTATCGTCGTACTTTCTTGAACGGCACGTGTTGGTTCCTGTGTGGTGTTCTGTGTGTGCGTCACGTCCAACAGGTGAGGGTCATGTCTTTTATTATTATTATTATTATTATTATTAGTGTTGTTTCGATACAGTTTTTTGGGGTGATCCAATACGATACTTGTCCTTGGTTTACTCACCGATACCGATACCAGTCTGATACCACACAGTGTGAAGAAGCAGACTGAGGCTACTCAGTTCTGTCACAGTTCAAGAGCAAGAAATCAAAATACTACAATAATCAAACTACTAAAACTATAAATCTATAGAATAAATTAGATTTTGAGAAGTGTTAAGAGTCAAATCTAGAAAGATCTTGACATAAGTCGTGCTGATTTAAGCTCTTGTTCCTTTCTACTCCAGTGTGTGGATAAACCAACAGTGAGTCGTGTAAAAAGACGCTGGTCCTTCAGTTGTTTCCGTTCACAGGCTGAATGTGTCTGCGTTTGTTTCTTGTTTGTCCCAGTAACGTTAGAGTGAGTCTGGCTCATTTAATCTGGAAACATTTTCAATAAATGATCCAAATCCAAAAGAGATTTGGTGGAATTAGGTTGAAAACAGTGGATGATGTGACAGTAAATACACTTCCTAAATGTTTGACATTAGAATAAGTGTGTGGAGGTTCTTTCTGCTGAGTGTCACTAAACGCTCACTTTGACAAGATCAAAGTTTAAACGTGCACGTGTTCTGGGGGAGGGTCTGTCACCTGCTCGTTTCTATGGAGACTGGAATGTTCCACAGTGTGACAATAAACAGCTTTAACTTACATTGATTCAATTACAGGTGGTTTTATATAGTTTATAGAAAAGTTACACAATGCACCTTTTAAAGATCTTTTGAATGACATTAAAAATACTGAAATGTGGCATTAAAAAGTGACTGAAAAACATTAAATCTGTTTTGTTGAACCTGTATAAAGTCTGAAAATACAGAGTGGTATCGGATACCAGTATCGGTATCGGAACAACCCTGATGATTCGACGTGACTTTGATATTTTTCCTGTGTTTCGATGTTTTCTCTGTGGGTATGAGCTCATTTATTCTGTTAGCGTCGGTGAACAGTCCTCGCGTTTGTGACCCACGTCCATTAGCTCCACTTCCTGTTACGACTTTATTGTGGCGGGAAAACTTGGTCAGACGTCGTGCTGCTCCTCCCCTCCGCCGCTGCTCTCGCTCTGCTGATGAAAACGAATCAAAGATTATTGAACAGATTTATTCAGCCCTCACTCCCATCAACATCTGCTCCACGTAAGAGACCAAACTCTGTTATTCAACGTATTTGTGATTCATGCAAACCTCGGAACACTCACTTTTTACTGTAATCCTCCATCTGTTTTAGTTTTTGCCTCAACCGAACCTTTTGTTGAGGACACTAGTATTCTTTGCTAAACTGCAACTACATTATTGACTTTTGATTTATATATTTAAACTATTTGCACTATATTTTTGAATTGTAGCTTGATAATAAACAATAAACATTTGGTCATCATAGAAATAATCTAAATTTCATCAATAATAATAAGTTTATTATCTGTATTGCTATGAAATATGACATTGAATTATTTATTTTAGTTTATTTATGAGCAGTAATGGTTTATTACTTTAGCTAAAGTTAATTTATGTGCTAATTTGTGTTTTGACTGACCCTGTTTTAGGTCAGTGTTTTTTTTTTCTTCTGGATCATTCTGCATTAATTCTGCAATACCACAAACCACCACTGGATGGCGAGCTGCCCATTCACCGCATCATCACGGTAGGAAATATCATAACTTTTTAATAACACCAGAACCAAACTGTTGGATTGCAATAAGTCAAACTGAACTTTGGGAAATATAAATGACTCAAATGGATCATAACTGTCACGGGTTTGTCAAAATCAATGTAAAGAAATGATGGCTCAGCCCAAAAAAAAGAAGTGAAAGTGTGTTTTTTATTCACACCACAGCCCAATGTGCAGAGTGCAATATTTACACTGAAAATGATGAAGCAGAGTAAAAAAAAAAAGTATTTACAGCAGCAGCATCAGCGTTTACAGCAAACCAGCACCCACATAGTCGGGTCAAGGACCGACAACAAAATGACTGGAGCTCCCCCTTAAACACCAATTAACAAAACATAGAGTTTTAAGAATTAAAGTACGTAAAAATTATACTCATGATCATAAATCAACTTGGAAATAAACATAAAAACAATTACTTAAATAACTCCTCATATGATTATCCTCAATTCAACTTAATAAACTTAATATAACTTAATAAACAAAATAGAGCCTGACCGATATGGATTTTGTTGTGGCCGATATGAAACCGGTATAATGGGAGTTGGAGCTGCCGATATAATCGCCGATATATTTTTAGTGATGTAAAAATTCACTGTAAATGTTGTATTGTTTAAAAAACTTAGGTTTGGCTCTGGTGGATTTTAAATTGGGTTTATTTAGGCAACATTTATTGTTCTTCTGACTCTTTACATCATATTTACAGACAGTAGGTTGACTTAATGGCATTTTTGCATCACATTCTAGACACTAGTGATGGGTATTCCAGTTCTTTTTAGAGAACCGGCTCTTTTGGCTCAGCTCACTAAAAGCTGCTGGTTCTTTTGGCTCCCAAGCGACTCTTGAGATTGTTTTGTTGCAAACAGGACTAAAGCACGTCTAAAGCAGGACTGAACCAGGACTGAACCAGGTCTAAACCAGGACTGAAAAAGGACTAAACCAGGACTTATTTATTTTATGCTAAACTACAGTCAAATATGCTCGTTTTTTAATTTTTTTTTTTACCCTATGCACACGCAAATTTCTCAAAGTTTCGTTTTCAGCCGCTGTCAAACCACGAGTCTGCATGCGGCGTGAAGAGAATAAAGTGAGAGAAAGAGAAAATACGGCTCCCAATAAGGATCAGGCTCCCGTCGTTCGCTTCAAAGAGCCGGCTCTAAGAGCCGCTTCGATCGCGACCGACCCATAACTAGTAAAGAAACTAGCGCTATTAGCCTTTAGCCGTAAATGCTGCGCGCCGCGGTAATTATTTATATGTGCAAATGTCATAATTCACACGTCTATTCACAGCTCATTTACATCAATGCAGGAACAAATATACGAACAATATAATCACTTTACAACAGACCAATAGAAAACAGCCTGTTTATGTGCTGGAGCTACAGCAGCTAACCCATAACAAATAGCCAAAACTAGCTTCAAAGTCGACATTTCCAACACTCAGCGTCACACAGGCTCCTCCCACATCACAAGTCGGAACTAATAAATGTCCTTTTAATCCAGACTCAAACCGATTGTCCATAAAAAGAAAATAATCTCAGTGTTTGGATCTGTGTCTGCGAGTGGAAACAAACACACGTGACTGTGGTGTGTTCAGGGACAGTACGACAGACACACACACACACACACACACACACACACACACACACGGAGCCACATATTTGGACATTTATCTGTCTGTAAATTGGATTACATGAAGATAATGTAGAGAGTCTAAGCTTTTTAAGGATGTATCACATGCCCACGTGAAATATCAGCCTCTAGCCAATATACCTCCAGGTGCCCATATCGGCCGATGATATCGGCCAACTGATATATCGGTCGGGCTCTAAAACAAATAAAGACACAAATGGAGCACAGCGGTGGAGTCTGAGATCATGTGACCTCCTTCAGCGCGTCACGAGCGGGAAGTGCCTCGGTTTGGCCCCTGAACCAGAGAGTGGCGTGGATACAGCTGCAGGTAAGAAGTGTGTGGTGCGTAGGCGTCGAGTGTGCACCTCCAACGCACTAGTGGAGAAAAACAGAGTCCAGGTCGAGGGGAAACAGTTTGTGGAAGTACAGGACCGTGGGACATACGAGCCGTCCTGCGGGGAAACAGTCTACTGGAACTGGGCTCCTCAAAAACGGGGGAAGTGTTCCGCGCTCTCTGCTGGTTAAGGCGTGTCCTCGGGCCAGAGAAAGACACGCCGGTCGGGTGATGAAGAAGAAACTATGGTCGCTCTGTCACATTATCAAACATTTTCTGAAACGTTTCATGAATGAGGTCCTTTTTTTGAAATGGGACATTTGGCCTCATTCATGAAACTTTCTTACAAACACATTTATACTTACGTCCTTCTTATGAACAGTTTTGTCATTCACTAAACTTTTTCTTAACTGAAAATGTTTTTCTGGAAGAACAAATCCTACGAACAGTCAGGAGCACCCGTAAGAACAAATATTCTACTGTTTTAGAATATTATTACTCTGATAATGCAACAAAAAAATCTAATTCCTCCATCATTCTAAGTTATATATTTTCTTAAATAATTTCCTATAAACATAAAATAATATGTGATCCTATAACCTTTGAGGTGTTTTCAGTGGTGTTGTGTAGTTGTCCACGGCCCTGGTGCAAGTCTGTATTGGGGAGATGGACCAATCCAGCCCACGATGAGCCCTCAAAGTGCCGTGAGCCCCGCTGCATCGCACCGACTGCACCTCTGAATGCTGTTGGGCGTTTTATTGAGCTGTGGTCTACTGGGTCTAACAGACTTAAGGCTGCAGTGAGCCTCAGTCTGTCCCAGCCCCAGTGCCTCCACATGTGCCTCTGTCAATGTGCGTTCACACCAGAGCGTCAAAAAACGCCCTCGACGTCTCTGTTTGGACGCCTTTGCATTTGAGTTTAGACGCCCCCGACGCGCATCTTTGACGCCGTGAACCAACGGGAGAAAAGTACTTGACGCTCGTTCGTTTCCCTGGAGACAAGAACCTGCTCTTTTCCTGAAACGATGTCCAGACCAGACTGAGAGACTTTAGTGTTTTTATGACATAAAACCATCAGTGGAGGAGATCGACTCGACGACTACGACGTGTTTAGATTTATACTCCACTAATGACCCTGGTCTAGTCTTGGTCTAGTCCCGGTCTAGTCTTGGTGTAGTCCCCATCTAGTTCTGGTGTAGTCCTGGTTCAGTTCTGGTGTAGTCCTGGTTCAGTCCTGGTGTAGTCCTGGTTCAGTCCTGGTGTAGTCCTGGTTCAGTCCTGGTGTAGTCCTGGTTCAGTTCTGGTGTAGTCCTGGTGTAGTCCTGGTTCAGTCCTGGTGTAGTCCTGGTTCAGTCTGGTGTAGTCCTGGTGTAGTCCTGGTTTCAGTCCTGGGTGTAGTCCTGTGTAGTCCTGGTCAGTTCTTGGTGTAGTCCTGGTGTAGTCCTGGTTCAGTCCTGGTGTAGTCCTGGTTCAGTCCTGGTTCAGTCCTCGTGATCCTCTTGGTGATTGTGGTGTATATATTTATTCTTCATTAATGTTTGTGGTTCTGTGTCTCTGGATACTCATCCCTGATTTGCTGACGCGGCGCATGTGACGCGGAAAGTTCAGTATTTTCCATTTTCTGGGGTCGACGCCTTGGACGCACATCTAGAGCGTCGACGCCAAAACGTCCTCGACGCGCCATGTCCACAGAGACTTTACACAGAAACTGGACGCTTAATTTTCTGTGTAAATGAAATGTAAACGATCGTGGTGTTTGTAAATTCAGGCCAACTGTCACTTAAGAAGGAATGTGGGATCTTAAGAACACTTTGTGAATCTGGCTCAGTCTCTCAGCATCTTCTCTCTACACGTGGAAGTTACAAACATTTTTTTAAGAAGATTCATTAATGAGGCCTAGTGTGGTCTTTAGTTTCTTTGGCAGCAAATAAAAACACAAGTGTGTTTCATTCAAATGTGTTCATTTTATTGGACAAATGTAAATAGAACAACATTGAGCACATTTCTATAGTGACACTCTTTTTTTATATGAAACTTTTAGGTGGCTCCATGAACAAAACGCCTCTGAAACTATGACTGTGTGAACAATATACAAATATATGAATGGAACACTCTGGCACGTGGTTATAGATAATTTTTTTAAAGAGTCTCGTCCCAGTGTGGGCGTCGTTCTGTCGGACGCTCCAGAGGATCAGATCTTCTATGATTTCTACGGGTCGTCTCATTTCAAACTAAAGCAAAGTTCTCTGGCCTTAACAGGAAGTAGACTACACCTGGATCCTGTGCATCAGAATCATTTCAAACCAAAGCCTCAAGTCTGTGAACACTGTGTAATGTTCTAAGGTCAGATTTGAACTGACTGGAGTGAGTTTGTGAAACATCAGTAAAAGAAAATCTTAAAACACAAAACAGCCACAAAAGAAGGATTATAAAGAGTCACTAAACAATAGAACAAAACAGTGACTCTGTATTTACACAAATGGACTGAACATCCCTCACACCTGACCCGGTCTAAGTCCAGGACTCAGGTGGAGCTGATCTGGTCTGTCTCCAGGTCCTCTGAGGTCCTCTCTCTGGCGCCCCTTCTGGCCCGGACCTGAAACAACAGGACACAGCAGATCCACACGTCACAAAACCAGGACCACAGACTGAAGAAGTGTTCTGAGGGAGCGTGACGACACCCACAGTGTTCAGCTCCAAATAACACGTGATCGGACAGATTCAATTCAAGTTTATTTATACAGCACATTTAAAACAACTTCAGTTGACCAAAGTGCTTCACATACAAGTCAACAACATAGAAGAAACAGTTACATATACTCATATACAGAAAACATGTGAAAACTACAATAAAACACCAAGATGAGCTCGTACTAAACACCAGGGAGAAGAGGTGAGTTTTCAGTCTCGTCTTAAACTGTGTTACAGACTGAGAGGATCTGACAGGAAGAGGAAGGTTGTTCCACAGTTTGGGCGCTGCCACAGAAAAGTCTCTGTCTCCTCTCGTCTTGACTCTAGTTTTGGGCTCGACCAACAGGAGCTGGTCTGATCTCAGGGTCTGGGTGGAGGACAGGGCTGCAGTGACTCCCTCAAATAGACTGGACCCATGCAGTGCAAACATTTGAAAACAATAACATTTTAAATTGCACCTGATATAAGAAAGGAGTCAGTGCAGGTCACACAGAACAGTGATGTGTTCACGGTTTTTAGTATTTGTCACAGACGAGCTGCAGTGTTCTGGACGTGTTGTAAACGCTGCAGGAGCTCTGGTCTAACCCCACATACAAAGAATTACAATAGTTCAGACGTGATGTCACGAAAGCATGGATCACTTTTTTGAACTCTGCCAGTGGGAGGTTTGGGCTTTACTTTAGTGAGGAGCCTTAACTGAAAGAAGCTGGACTTAATCACAGCTCTAATGTGCTTGTCCAGTTTGAACATGGAGTCCACAATCACTCCAAGATTCTTCACTGCAGGAGACAACAGGAGGACAGAGGAACAATCACACTGTCCTGCCCAAACACCACAATCTCGTTTTTTTTATGATTTAGATTCAGTTCAGTTTGTGTTCAGCCAGGTCTGTACGTCCCTGAGACAGTCCTGCAGAGCTTTGATCGAGCTCTGGCTGTCAGTCACAGTCACTGGCAGATAAATTTGAATATCATCTGCAAAGCAGTGAAAAGTGACATTGTGTTTCTAAAAACATCACCCGGGGGGAGCATATACAGAGCAAAGAGCTGGTGCTAATGTAGAACCTTGAGGCACACCGGACTGTAAAGGAGACACAGAAGAGGAGGACTGCCCTAAATTTACAGAAAAACTCCTGTGACAGATAAGACCAGAACCAACAGAGCGCTGTGCCCTTAATGTCCACGTGTGTCTCCAGGCGAGACAGAAGGACGCTGTGATCCACCAGGTCTAAAGCGGCTGTTAAGAACAGCGGATTTCCCAGAGTCAGAAGTTAAAAGCAGGTCATTAAAAACTTTTAAAAAGAGCAGTTGTGCTGAGATTGAGTTGGTCACAATCCTGCAGGAGGGGTAAGATTAGGCAACAGCATGTTTCAGGGCAGTGAAAAACAGCCTGTTCCAACATGAGCACGGGAAAGAGAGCTGAGTGTGTGGCAGAGTGCAGGAGGTCACAGGTGTAGTTTCCTTTGTGGGCGTGGTCAGCGTCAGAGAACAGGAAGTAGGCAGAGTGATTGACGGCGGGCAAGGTGCGGTTCTGAGCGGGGGGCGCGGCGGGAGAGAGGAGCCGGAAGGAGCCTCCCGGGTACTGTGGCTCCACAGAGCATTTGACCCTGAACTTTGAGCCCAGCTGCACCCGCACCCCCTGAGGCTGGAGCTCGGACGCCCCGTCACTCACAGACACGGAGATGATTGGACGATTCAGGACCAAGTCTGAGGAGACACGTGATTGGACAGATCAGTCTGTGTGTATCTGTGTGTGTGTGTGCGTTGTTAGTTGAATGTGTGTAAGTGTTTTTTGTTGTTATAAATCAGTTGAAAAGTCTTAAATGATCAAAGATGCTCCATGTTTATCTTTTGTCATATCTGTGCCATAGTTGCCATAGCGACCAGTGTAAATGTCCTGTCTCCTCTGATGGTGCATGTGCACAGGGACATGAGTATCCTGGTTTCTCTGAGCTCATGGAAACACTCTGTCCAGAACAGTGTCATAACCGGGATCCTGCTGCACATGTAAACGCACTGACACTTCCACTTTACAAATGAAACACATTTAAGACAAAAGCAGCTTTATTTTCTCATCTATGACATCATCAGAGACACAACTTTGTCTAAACGGATCTTTTATGTAGAATCCATTTACAACAAGAATCAAACACACACACACTCCCAGCATCCTCCATCACAAGCACACAGGTTTACTCCATCTCCAGAGAATCAGCAAAGAGAACATGAGACAGTCTGTCACTGTCACTGCTGCACACAAGCTACAAGATTCAACTATTAAAGCAGAGCTCTGCTGCAAAAGGGACTTTTCACACATTTAACCATGTCACACGTTTCCTTTCTTCTATTTGGACACATTCAACCTGAACATTTACAAAAACACTTTTACCTGAACACTTCACCTCCAGACCCGAGGAAGAAGAAGAAGATGAATCAGAGACACATTCTCTCACTGAAGACTCCGTCACACAGTCCGATGAGACCCTCCACACACGACTCTGTGGAAAATCATTTCTCTGTTTTCCATAAACAGCAGAGCCACAGTCCAGGTCTCTGCACACACCAACTGTGGCCTCCTGGTCCCAGCGTCCAAAGGACTCCACTCGTCTCCACTCTCCTCTGACTCTCACCTCCACAGTCCCAGCACAGCGACTGGCTCCTCCCACCAACCTGAGCGGCTCTGAACAGACAAGAGACAGAGTGAAGCCCCGCCCCTTTACCTGAGCAGTGAAACCCGCCCCTTTACCTGAGCAGGTGAGGTTGACAGTGGCTCCAGAGGAGCAGGTCCTTGAGTTGGAGCGGGGACAGTCCATCAGAGCAGACTCATGGCCCTCACAATGGAATGTCTGCCCCAGAGGAGAGAGCGCCCCCTGGAGGAGAGAAGGAGCCCCACAGTCCAGCTCCCTGCACAGCACCTCTGCCCCCCGCTGGTCCAAGTCCCCGTCACAGACCCCGGTCCAGGACCCGTCCCAGATCTGCACTGATCCTGAACACAGACCGGACCCCGAGACCAACCGCACCGAGTCTGTGGACACACATGTGACATCATCACTCTGAACCAATAGGACGCACACATGTGTGACAT